GTATACATGTTATGAAAGAATAAAGCTGCTTCATAACAAACCATTCTTTTTTAATAGTCAACAAATTGTAAATAAGTAACGACACTGACACTACACATTGCAAAAAGTTTTTTAATGCAACAAAGAAGACCTAAAAGATACTTAATACCTTATAATTTGGGATCACAAAATTTTTCTCGTTAATTTTTATGTCTTATTCTACAAAGCTCTTGCAGAATTTTTAAACTTTTGACGCATAAGACATCAAAATTAAATATTAATATTATCTCATTCAAGTACTACTAACAGATAACTTTAGACGTATATTAGAGGGTTCTTTGAAAATGTGTACATTTTACATGTAAGAATAAAGCTGCTTTAGGAAAACAATCCTTTTTAATAATTAACAAAGTTGAAGTAAGTAACGACAACACTGAAAAAAATGCGAAAACGCATTTTATTGCAACTAATTAGGCCTTAATTTAACTAAATGCCTTATAATTTATGACCATAAAATATTTCTCATCGAATTTAAAAGATTAACGTATTCAACTCTTGGAAAGGAATTCATCTCTTTTTTTCAATACTCTAAAATTCGCCAGTTGACAGTTCTTTGCCAGCACAATATAAACGTTAATTTTTGAAGTATTTTTCGTCAAAAAAATTTATCTTCTGCAAGAGTTTAATAGGTCAAGACTTTAAAATTAACAAGGAAAATCTGATAATTCCAAATAAAAAAACATTAAGTGAATTTTAGGCCAAATGTGTTGCGTTAAAATACTTTTCCGCTTTGTTTGCAGTATTGTCGGTACTTTCTCATACTGTGTTGATTATTAAAAGAAATTGTTGCTTCTAGAGCAGCTTTATTCTTAAATAACATGTATGCATTCTTAAAAAGCCTTTTAATGTACTTTAAAAAACGTCTGTTAGCAGTACTTTGCTGGGACAACATAAATTCTAAAATTCAAGGTCTTATACGTCATAAATTTACATATTCTGCAGTATTTTAATAGGTCAAACTGTCAAACTAAGCGGAAAAAATTTTGTAATTTCAAAAAATAAAGTATTTAGTAAAATTTAGGCCTAATTGATTGCTTAAAAATGCTTTTTGCATTGTTTTGCAGTGTCATTGATACTCGTTGATACCATGACCATTTTTAAAATCAAATTTTGTTGTTCAAAGTTGCTCTGTTCTGACATGATAAGTATACAATTTCAAAAAGCTTTACTTTATTTTTCAAAATGCTTCCATTTTTGTTTTCCATGTCTGAGGAATTCTGTCAGCTGTACTTTGCTAAGACAATATTAATATCCAATTTCAAAGTCTTATACGTCAGAAGTTTAAAAAATCTGCAAGAGTTTCATAGGTCAAAACATCCAAATTAACAAGAGAAATCTTATGATTCCAAATAATAAGGTACTTGGGAAATTTTAGGCCTAATTTGTTGCATTGAAATGCTTTTCTGCATTGTTTGCAGTGTCAGCGTTATTTACTCATACTTTGTTAATTATTGTAAGAATTGTTTTTTTTTTTTAACAGCTTTGTTTACCTTTATTCTTGCATAACATATATACTTTTCTGAAAAGCCTTTTAAAATACTTTAAACGTCGTCTGTTGGCAGTACTTTGCTGAAACGATATTACTATATAACTTTGAGGTTCTATACGTCAGAACTTTAAAAATTCGGCAAGAGTTTCATAGGTCAAGAGATAAAAATTGACGAGAAAAATTTTATGATTTCAAATAACAAAGTATTTAGTAAAATTAAAGCCAGATTTGTTGCATTACAACGCTTTTTCGCATTGTTCGCGTTATCGTCATTACTTACTCGAACTTTGTTGATTATTAAAAGCTAATTGTTTTTTGTAAAGCAGCTACATTCGAACGTTACATGTGTACATTTTGAAAAAGCCTTTAAATATACTTTAAAGTCGTCTGTTAGCAGTACTTTGTTGAGACAACATAAATATTTAATTTCGGGGTCTTATACGTCAGAATTTATATACTCTGCAGGAGATAAATAGGTCAAGCTGTCAAGTAAACGAAAAAAATTTTATAATTTCAAATAACAATGTATTTAGTAAACTTTAGCCAAATTTGATGCATTACAATGCTTTTTGGCATTATTTTGCAGTGTCATTGATATTCTTTATTCTTACAATGCTTCTTTAAGCAGTATTTTGCTACGACAATGACAAAGACACTGCAAACAATGCAGGAAAGCGTTTTATTGTAACAAATTGGGCCTTAATTTAACTAAATGCCTTAGAATTAATAACCACCAACTATTTTTCATTTAATTTAAAAGATTGACCTATTCAACTTTTGGAGAATATTTAAATTTCTGACAAATAAGACCTTTAAAAAAAGCATTTATTGTTTCCCAGCAAAGTACTGCTAACAGACGTCTTTTAATGCATAATGAAAGGCTTTTCAGAATTTGTGTACCTATTGTACAAGAATGAAGCTCCTTTAGAAAACAAAATTATTTTCGAAAATCATTAAGTAATATGTAAGTACCAATGATACTGCAAAACAATGCGGAAAAGCATTTAAATGCAGCAAATATGAACGAAATTTTCTTGAATACCTTATGAATTTAAACAATAGAAGTTTATTGTGTAATTTTATTGATTTGACTCATTAAACTCTTGCGAAATTTTTAAACTTCTGACGTTAAAGACCTAAATAATAAATATTCATATTGTCCCAGCATAGAATTGTTAACCGATGACTTGTTAAGTGAAATGAAAGGCCTTTAAAAATTGAATCCGTATTATATAAGAATGATAATGCTTCAAAAAACAAATTCCTCTTTTTAAAATTATTAAATCAACAGCAGGTAACAAAGACACTATAAGCAATGCGAAAAAGCTTTTCATCGCATCATATCAGGCCGAACGGTAACAAATTACCTGTTTAGTTACGATTGCGATTTTTCTGGTCAATTTCAATTAATCGACACATGGAACTGTTGTAGGAACCTCGAATTTCTGACGTATAAGACCTTAAAATTTGTTATTCATATTGTCCCTACAAAGTAGTGCTAACTGAGGACTTTTAAAGTATAAAAATATTCATTTTTATAGTCGTATACCTTTCATTCAAGAATGGAGCTGCTTTGAGAATCAAGTTTTTTTTGGAAAAATCATCAAGGTGATAAGAAGTAACGATGACACTTTTAAATAATGCATTTAAGCTGCGTACTGTACCAAAGGAGACTCAAAGTGCACTGAAAATCTGTTGATTTTGTTGTACGATTTTTTTTATTGTGATCAACAATTAGACTTCACAAAAAAAAACTCTAGAATTTTTGTTTACATCCATTATGTTGACAGAAATATAATTTCTTATACAAAAATACTGTATCTTTTAATCACGAAATATTAATAAATTGGTGCTTCTTGTAATTGAAGAAACAGGAATGGATCGGTCAATTGGCTGAGCCACTTTTGTACATGTTTCATTGAGTGCTCTTATTTGAAAAGGCTTATAATAAACTTGGTTGGGAAACTGAGCTAGGATGAAGGTGTGGTAGTAGCTTTTGAATTTTCTGTGCCTGCAAGAACGCACACAGTAACGTTTATAACATTGTATCGTTAAGCATAAAATCATTTAATCATTGTTTTTTATAAATCAGTTACAATAATAATTTATTTTGTAGACGACGGGAAATCTTCAGTTTTATTATTATTTTACATATGTAATTGGAGCGATATCTTATAGGGGATTTGTTTGTCTTACACTATGCTGTGAAATAAAGCTTAAGATATTGAACCAATAACGGATTACCTTTTATTTATTTTTTTTTTTTTAATTTGAACTCTATCGGAAGGTTGCGTGTGCTTGGGCCCTTGCAGGTAGCCGTCCATAAATGAGTTAACATAATAATCATGTTCTCTAACATGAAAAGAATATTGCAAAGTGCAGCATGTTGCTCTGGTGAGGGAAGTTGGCGAGCGTACTTCTATACGATTTGAGAGGAAATTGCCACAGTGTAGGCAATTATTATAACAATGGACTAATTTCATTTTACTGTATTATTTGAAATAACGATAAAAACAGCGGATCAGAGCGTCTATCTACGTAAAATTGACCATAGAATCGGAATATAACGTCAAATCTAACCTCAAATTTTTTTTGGAGAAAATTTAATTTTTATCTTTGAAACAGTTAATGGTACCATAATTTGAGCAGCACTATCGGAATTCTCGTCGAATTTTACATGTAGAAGGCCAACTTGAATCCACTAGGTTTATTAGATAAATTTTTACGGGAGGGGGAAGGGTCAATTTAAGTTGGTCACGTTCTATATTTCGATTATTTTTTACTTCTACTTCTACTCCTACTCAAGTTCTGACTTTTTCGGTGTGTCACACAAGATTAAACCTGTATTTTTATATTTCCTATGTTAAATTAATTAACTCTTTGAAAATTTGAACACCCAAAATTTGAGTACTTATTCATAAATATCTTTCGTTACTGTTGGTAAGTGATCTTTTCTGTGTTTTTCGTACGCACATTTAAATGAACAATTATCGTTCTTGTGTCTATAATGTCTGTTTATAAAAACTCTACCTTTTATATTGTAAGTAACTCGATTATCTCAACGTTTCGAATATATTGAAGAGAACTTAAAGATTGTTTTTTCAGCTATATATTATTTCTACAAATTTTATTTGGTTCTCAGTTTTCATACAAATTTTAAAATAAGTTGTTCTCTTACAATTATTGCTAAAAAGTCCAATCTCTGAGTGGTGGAATACTTGTGTAACTAGTCACTTAAAAGTACCTGAGTTACAATTTTTTGAATTAGATATTTATTTATTCTGATTATAACTTAAATTATGTGATTGTTCGTAATCTTACTTTTGAAAAATAATAATTTTTACCAGGATAAATCGCTTATTTAACTTATTTTGTTTTGAAATAAAATATCATTGAATCATTAGTTTATAATTATCTATTAAAATGTAATACAATGGTGTTAATTTTTTATACAAATTACAATTTTTTCTAGGTGTCATAATAAATTTTTTAGAGTCCATCCTGCTGCAGGTGATAACGGAAATCGTAATGTAGAAAACAATGAAAATCTCCCGAACAATCCCCAAATCATGGAGCCAGGCATACTAATGATAGCAAGAGAGCTCTTACAGCGGGCTATAAATACCAATACTAACCACAGAAGAAGACCAAACATCATTTTGTTTGCATGGACATTCTTGAGTTCTTTTTTTATTTCATTGGTACCAGAATAACAAAACATTTTATGAGAAACATAGTTTTACACAATTTTGCTCTCCAACAATGTTATTGAAAGCAAAAAAACACTCTATCTTAAAAGTTCTTCTTCTTGTACATCTAAAAATGTATATATCCAGCTATAACTTACACTTTTCTGCCAAGTGTTCTATGCTCCATAGTAGGTAAAACAATTGTTAAATGCAGTGTACTAAAAAGATTTTTCAAATATAAAAAATGTGCAATGCACAGATCTTATAAGCGATTACCTTAAGCAACATAAAAACTTGAAAACTGTGTGTTAATCTTATTCGTTTTAAAATGAGTTGCAAAATATTTTTTACTTAGTTCAGCAGCTTATAAAATCACAAAATTTAATGGTTTGGAATAATTCTTAATGTTTATTTATTTAGAAACTTAGAAAGATTATCACAGTTATCAGGTTGTTACGAAAGCTGATAAGTAGCTTGGCAAACTTTATTTTTGTTACTGGTCATACAAAAAATTATCAGTAAAAGACCAATCGAAATAAGATGGCCGATAAATAAAGAAAAAAAGACAAAAAAAGACAAAAAAAATTGCTTAAACTAAGAGCAAAAAAATCTCAAGAAACAATTATAATAAATTAATTACTTCTATGCATATGGTTTATAAAAGAACAAAATCATAAATAGCTAGTGTGAAAAGCAAATATGCTAAAAAAGTTATAGATAAACAATGAACAGGCAAAAGATTAGAAATCTGGAAGATTTAGAGACTTTTAATTTTACTAGAGTCAAAAATTTTCTGACTCCATTTTACATGGATTCTGTTCAGGCTATTATCCAATGAAATCTTGAGCTAAGCAGCATTTTTTTTTATTTGGCAGTGTTCTCTTGTACAAGCGTAGTAGATTTTAAAGCATAACTTTTATCATAAATCAGTAGTCAATACCTCATAAACTAATAGATTACCTCTACAAGACATCAACATTTTAATTAAAAGCAACATTTGGTCAATATATTACGTAAGTATATAAATAGACTTTAAAGACTATAAAATACGATATAAATCATGTTATTACCAGAATAGAACATCTTTCCATAATAATAAGAAATAAAAACCTGTTAAGTATGATCTATGTAATCACATGTAATTCATAATGCTACAAGTGAAACTGACGTCTATTGAATCTATCACAATCATTTTTCTTTCTAACCTTAAAACAGTTAAAAATAACGAAATCCACAAAAAAATAATAAAAATAATTAATAAGTACAAAAAATACACAAAAGTATTAGTCGTAAAATCTACCCCATGTAACTGTAAAAAATTTAAGTAGCTAACATGGCGTTGCTCTCTAATATAGTATTTGTCACATCTGTGTTACCATTTAATTGAACTAATTCACCGTAAATGTGTGGCGAGCTGCGAGACACAAGTCTTGATATTGAACAGATATGCGTATTTCATTACTTATATTATGATATGATGTCGCATACGGCTAATAAGAATGAATTTTATTGTGTGCAACAGATGCATCACGTATGACGGAAGAATGATTGTTTGGAAATGCTTTTATCTTTGATGCAATAAAATACTATACGAGTACGTTTTCCCATAGGGTCTTATTTTTTAATCTTAGACTTCTTAGGAATCGAATATTCTCAATTTTTTCTTAATTTCTTTGACATGTTGACGATTTGAATATTCGATGTTGACTAATCACTGGAGGACATGTTGAGCTTGCTTTGTCTACTATGCGCAGTTAGATGCAGCCGATTATATGTCTGACCATTTGATTATGGATTATTTATAAAGAATTTTCAATAATTTTTAATAGCTACAGAAAAGTTTAATATGTATGTCGTGATATTGAGGACCTATGGTAATAGACAAAGAGCTAGGTAACTACATTAAAATTTTATTCCCAACGCAATCTAACTACATAAAAACTAAAGTTTGTACACCAAAGAACTGAAATATTGGTATGCCATACCAATACTGCAATCTTTTAAGATACAGCAACGTCATTTTTGTGTTAGAAATAATCGTTTTGGATAATGATATCCTACAGTATAATTTTAACTTATTTCTATAGTCAATCATTAAAATCTTGTCGGAAATGTGTGCCATACTTGAGCAAAGTCACTTATTTTTAAACTATGCGAAACGGTTTCCTACAGCAGTAAACCAACAAGACAGCTTATTTTTTTAATAGTGATTGATAACGACAATAATTCCATTTCGATCAGGCAGTTCAATATAGCTTCATGTTCAATGTCTGTAATTATATTTATCTTCCTATATTACATAGTCGTAAGAGTGAGAGCGAGGTTTTGCACCCCCCTGCCCCCCTCCCCAAATAAGGTAGTTATTCTTTCATTTTCTTGCATTTTTTGAGTAATCCTACTTTTTTGCTAGCTCCCCACCCGCTCCCCCCAGCTTCCCCATGTATAATGTTAATATATTCGTAAAGCCTTATATATAAACTGTTACAAGTGGTCTAATTTTCACATATAATTTTATTTGACCATAACAAAAAATTTTGTTACAATTATCTTACTTACGATATTTATTTTGATTACATACTCTAAAATGTCTTTTTAGGTGCTCTGCTCTTACATAA